AGATCACAGCCAAACTATCGGGAAGCGAAGCCTAACTTGGGCACTCGCTTGGCGACTTGGGCCCAAAGATGCCAGATCTCAACCGAACTACAAGGTAGTAAGCCTAACTCTGGCACATTTGTGGCGATTTTGGCCCGAATGTGCTAGGTGACAGCCGAACTGTCAAAAAGTGAAGCCTAACTTTGGCATTAGTTTGGCGATTTTGGCCCGAAAATGCCAAAGCTCTGCCGAACTACAAGGTAGTAAGCCTAACTCTGGCACATCTGTGGCGATTTTGGCCCGAATGTGCCTGGTGACAGCCGAACTGTCAAAAAGTGAAGCCTAACTTTGGCATTAGTTTGGCGATTTTGGCCCAAAAATGCCAAAGCTCTGCCGAACTACAAGGTAGTAAGCCTAACTCTGGCACATCTGTGGCGATTTTGGCCCGAATGTGCCAGGTGATAGCCGAACTATCAAAAAGTGAAGCCTAACTTTGGCATTAGTTTGGCGATTTTGGCCCAAAAATGCCAAAGATCTGCCGAACTAACGGGCAGTAACCCTAAATTTGGCATTTGTTAGGCGATTTAGGCCCGAAGATGCCAGATAATAACCGAACTACCCGGGAGCGAAGCCTAAGTTTGGCACTTGTTTGGCGAATTAGGGCCAAGATACCCAGACTGTTGCCAAGCGAAGTCAGGTTTGGCACTACTTTGGCTTCTTCGGGCTTTTTAATGCCCTAAACTGCCAGACGCCAGCCAAGTTTTGGCCCAGAACTCGGTGCTGCTTGGGCAGAGAAGAAATTTTGCTGACGTCACCCGTTACGCCTGCCCGGAGGAGAAAAAAACAAACAAAAGAGCAATGGTCTTGAGGTGTAGCTTAATGTTCGCTATGCCAATGCCGTAGCCTTGACTGCGCTGTTGGGTGCGCCTCAATTCGCCCGATAGAGTCAGCTGATTTCGGCAACTTGGCGAGTTGCAAAGTTTTCCGGATTGTTTAAGAAACATTTAGACAGAACTAGGTCGTAATATTTTATATCTGGTCTTCCTAGATGATACGGAAGTGGACTGCATTGGTTTTTCAAAAACCAATATGAAGCGGAGTTGCCTATTAAACTTTGTTCGCCGGGGCAATGCCACTAGTATCTTTTGATCATTGCTCAGTCGTTTCAGTTTACATTGTCCACGACTGTATATACAATTCTTTTTAATGAAACTTCACTCACACTTTCCTTCACTTGCTGCTATAAACATATAAAAAAAATATTTCTGCTTTATTGAGCCAGATCATGCCTTTGCTATTTGAGCCCTTCTATTTTTTATATATTCATTCAACATGTCATTACCAAGCAGTGATATTGATTAGCATAGCAAGTGGTGCTTGGTGCACTCACCGCCTATGTGGCTGTGAAGCAAAGCACCGGCCCAGAGCCGTATATTGGGAGAGTTTGGCCAGTGGGTGTGGCGACAAAGCCGCCGGAGAGGAGAAAACTGAATAAAAGGGAGGAGAGCACCGAAGGAGTGAGAGAGAAAGAAGGGAACGAAGAGGAAACGACTGCCATTTTGACGCAACGCCGTCGGCGTGCCGAGCACTGTTGAGGCTACGCGTCGTCTGCTACGGGCTTATTTCTTTTTCGCCTGAATAAAAGTGTTTAAACGTGGAGAAACTTTATTTGTTAGCTTTTTAAGCCACCGAGGAATAACACTATATCATTTTCTTGACAGAGCCTGCCAAATAAAAGGAAAGAACCGAAATTTGCATGCCGATCCCATGCATTCAGCCGGGCGAAGGAGTGAAAATGGCGGCCTTCCCCGCTCAGCTGGGAACAGCCGGGAGTTCACGCGCATGCGCTCACACCTCTCGCTCTGTGCTGCGGGCTGATTGCCGCACTCGGGAGGGGCGCGTTCCGGCGGCGAGATCATAGACTGGCCAAACTTTCTCCACATACGGCTCTGCACCGGCCCACAGATCCACAGTTGCTTGGATTTCAAAATCCAAGCCAAGGTGCTTGCAATCGGACAGAGGCTTACAGCGGAAAAGGTGCGTTGTAACCAAGATTGCAGTTGCCTGTCAAAAGATTCCCAGGTGGTCAAAATTTATCCTTACCCCTCCTCTAGAGCATGCCAGACGCCCTTTGTTAGTTTGTTTTTGTGCTTGGTGCACTGTAGTCACAGCTCACAAGAAATCGGTGTGCAGTCAAGAAATGTGTCTGTCTTCATGTATGGGGCCCTTGTTCTGCGACTGTCTTCGTGTGGTGTCTCTCATCTCATGATGAGAGACACCGCTTGGATTTTGTGCATGTGTGTCTCCTGCTTAAGAGCACATTTTATAGGTTACTAATATTCCTTGCTTTCACAATGTGACCAATTGTATGAAAGACGGTTGCTTTATCACAAATGTTTCTAGGTCAAAGAATTATCCTGTTACCTGGCAGCCTGTGGTGAGCGTACTTCTTCAGCACAACAGAAACTCCAGAAAAATTATCAACACAAGAGTTGCGTGTCTAATTTGGGCAGGGTCTTTTTTTTTTTTACATGTTTTATTTGGAAGTGTAATTTTTTTTTTCATTTTTCACTAGTGCTTAAGTAACATATTGAAAGGCAACCTCGTCAGATAATATATTAAAAGGCAACCTGTCAGTAGTCATACCCTCATTATTTCGAAGTCTCTGAACCGAAGAAACAGAGAAGACAAAACAGGCTTGTTGTAATTTCTTGTCTAAGGTTCACAGTGCGTGAAAGTTAACAAGTTACCTGCTTTATTTTTATTCCATATACTCGTGCACAATGTGACGGTTTCTGACTAAACCACAAGTATGAAGTGTTTCGTAAATCATGCCGGGATAGAAAAGTGCGGAGTTAATTTCTTCCAAACTAATTCACTGATCAGGTAAGCGGAATGGGATGCTGCCATGCTGCATGAAAGATCTCAGAAGACCAACTATTGTGTTAAACTGTTGTTGCTTGTGATCCAACTTTCAGGCAAGGCAGATTTCAATTTGTTCTGCACTGTGTTCACTGAAATGAAAACCTAAGACAATCTGTTCGTCCGGTCTTATTGCAGGGACAACATGCTACACGCTGTACACTTACAAGCTGGGAGACTGGGACAAGAAAGTTCACTCCTAAATGCAGCCATCATTCCGTGGCAACGCTTCAACTGCCTACGGCCAGCGCTGCGAACCGAAGGCACGAAAGAAGTACGAGAGTGAGAGTCAAGTAGAGGTTTTTACTTGTGGCCTTCTTGTGTCACCAAAAACCCCTGGCTAGGCTGCTCCCCGGACGGAGTTGTGTTTGAGGGAGGGAGGCCAACAAAGTTGGTGGAAATCAAATGCCCTACGAAGGGACAAACTGTAACTGCAAAAGCAGTTCTGCCAGCCTGCGACTTTCTGCATCGTGATGAGGCAGGCAATTACATGCCAAAGCAACGCCACACCTACTATGCCCAGATGCAACTTGGGATGGTGCTTCTGGACGTGAGGAAGTGCGACATGGTGATTTATGCCGACAAAGATAAATCCATCGAAGTCATTAGTGTGGACTTCGATGAAGCCTTTATCTTGCCGCTGCTCACTAAAGTGAAGGATCTATACTTTACGCATGTGCTGCCGATTTTGTGCTCATCAGCAGATGTTTAGCTACGCAAACACTGCGTTATCTTGGTTAGTTAACCAACAGTGGCTTGCCACATGACAATGTGGTGAAGTGTGCCCAACAATGACAAAAGGCAATATCTCCTAGACAACAAATTTGAAGTGCTGGATGTATGACGTCGCCTAAAGAAGGTCAACGCCAGGCACAGATTGGACACGACAACAGCATTTGGCTGGGACCACTGATACAAGTACTCGTTGGCCTTCTTTAGGCGGCGACATGCATTCAGCACTTCGCATTTGTTGTCTAGAGGTTGTTGTGAAAGCATGCGCTAATTTAATTACAGTTAGGAAACATGGGACTATGTGGAATCTAGCAGCCCGGCGCGCAACTGCAGCGCAACCGTATCGCTGCTGTTGCAGTTCAGACACCAGACTGCTAGAGTGCTCCTGGCACCTGATTGCCACTACCTTTCTCCTTGCACTTGATTGGCCGAGATGAATTGTGGCTTTTGTGGTTAGGCGTTTTGATGTTGTATTGCATTTTTGTATTATTTCGAAATAACTTTATTGTTAGTTCTTTATTGTTTGCACACAACAAGTGGCCCAGTGTGTTAACGCACTGCAGCTTGGTGCATATGGAGCGAAAGCTTGTGCTGCGGAACCCAGGGACACTAAAGTCAGTCCCCACCTCTATTCGTTTCAATCTGGATGAGCACCGCATCATTATGAATGTTGGTTTCGAGGACAAACTGCATAATACTATAAAATTTAAGCTTTGAGGATTCTGTGCAATTTATTTAGGTTATTTATCAATATTTATTCTGGTTAACTGCACTGGAGTATAAAATCTGGTATTTATAGAGCCTCGGCTTATGTGTAAGACATTTTCGTGTTTGTTATATGTGAAAATTTTAACTTTTGGGTCAATAAGCTCCTAGATCAACCTATGTGTCTGTTGTGAATGAAAACTATTGTGAATGATGTGGGTACGTGCAATATTTAATTGACAATAAAAGGGATGATAACAGCTCATGTTTCATTCAAGAACTTGCGTTTCTCAGATACTACTAGCTTCCAGGCTGCTACTCCGAGGTTTCCAATAAGAGGCTTCCTCACAGGTATCAATCGGAATCTTTGCAATAATATGAACATCACTTACTAAATTTCACAGAAAAACATAAACACACACACATACAAGCAGAAAACACAAAACGAAAGATTGCATTAAAATAAATCTATGAAGCAGAAAGATGCCTGAAAGTTATATATGTGTTCACTATTATCAGAGCGAGGTTACCCTTTTTTTGTAATAAGGGTTTGGAAAGAGTTTCTTTTGATGCTTACAAACAAAATTGGAACTGAAAAAAAAAGAAAACTCGGAACCCCAACAATATTGTATGCAAACCCCATGGCTTAAAGAAAAAAAAAACTATGTGAACTTGTTATCCGCCAGAACAGGAGGGGATAAATTGGCTAAGCCACATGCAATACTCAGCATGTCATCGGCTAGTGGCACCATGTTCCAGGGCATCTTCTGGAACACTATCTTCAATAGCTTAATTCTTTGAATGACCCTTTCCACGTGAACACTTGCCGCAGCTATATGCTTAGTGGCAAGAGCTTCAGCCTTGGTCAGCTGCTTTTTGGCGTGCAGGAAGGGGAGCCTCACTACAGCTATGAGCCTCGATTCGCATGTGGCGTCTATAAGAAAACCTTTGTCAACCATGATGTGGTCGATGCCAGGCAACAACTTATCAACTAAACCACTCTGGTCGAAGATGGCCTTGTCTGAGGCTCGCCCTCCGTAACCACTACTTAGGTAAGTAATCAAGCCACCGGGTGAAACACCTATCATGAACTTTACGGTGTGTCCCTTTTTGTAGTGAGAGTACATGCTTATCCGACATTTCAGGCACTTTGGTCTGCCGACAGGAATTTCGGTACAGTCCAGCACAATGCGGACGTGAGAAAACTTCTCGAAACATACCGGCATGTTGTGCAAAACCTCGTCCTTAGAAGGCCAGGTTATTGCACATTTCAAGAATTCTGCAAGGACCTTTGTTGTCCGCTTCACAGTGGTGCTTACCGTAGATGGGGACACCAAAGACATTAGAAAGAAAATCAAATGTCAGAGCATGCTTGAAAGCCATCATGGTCAAGATTATTTTATCTCTCGCTGGCAGTACAGCTCTTGATGATGTGGGCATCTTTTCAGACATGAGCCTCTCCAGAGCATTGAGAAGCTCCATGTTGGGGAGGCCAGTGGAAGAACACACATTTGCTTGATTCACCATGCGAGAAAAGTTCTCCCCAAAGTCTCCACTCGACACTTGTATGCCTTGGTCGAGGAGAACTACTGGGGATGGGCGAGGTCTCTCCAATAGCACTGGAGATAGTAGTGGAGCATCTTCCTCTTCAGTGAAACTTGCGCCATCCTCTTGGTCGGAATGCGTTTCTGCTTCGCAAAGTGCAACCTAGGACGAAGTTCAAAAGTTTGTAACCAACCTTAGTGTCAGTGGTGTGAAGACATAGTTGGTGTCAAGCTAAGAACTCAGCAGAAAAAATCACTCAAAGGAATTCGTACCTCTCTGCCAGCCAATCGTTTCCACTCATTTTCTCACATCACAAAACAAACCTTTCCAACGTAGTGCACATTGTTTTGAACATCGGCTTCGCCAAGGGTGCCAGTTTCTGCAAGTGATTATTCTGCCTTTTACTTCAGCATCGTACTGGTATCTGCTTTTGCGTGCGGTAGTTTGTGTGACGATGTGAGACTTTAATGGTCACGTAGATCTTTATGACTTGGGGTGCAGCAGGGGGGGAGGGGGTGAAAATGCATGTCTATTATACAACTGGCTGGATTTTTTTTGGGGTGGAGGGGGGGCTAAAGTCCCATAAGCCTCCCCTCTGGCTACGCTGCTGACGTCGCCGTTGAACTGTTTAGTTCCCTTGCTTAGACAGTCATGTAAGCCGTGCCCACCGAGACAACACCTCCTAGATAAAGCCGTAGCGCTGATAGAGATGTCATCAGAGAAGGCCAACGCTGGGCACAGATTGGACACGACAATTTCGTCAACGTTCGGCTCAAACTTGACTCGAAGCCAAGCACTGACGCAGCACTTGTTTCCAATGTGTCCAGTGTTGGCCTACGCTGGTGACACATAAATGTCAGTACTACTGCCTTGCCTTTTAAGTGATGTTGGTCAAGACCGGCAGAACCTTCGTCCGTGCCAGTGGCTTCTCTTCATTTGTTCAGTTTTCACCCTAAGACAAGTATGTCGGAAAATTTTTGCAGTGTGTGCATTTCTTTGCGATGGTTCCTGTGGAGTGCCGAGAAAAAACACTGCGGTCTCTACTGTCGATGCGATGTGCTGTGTGAGACACTTATTTAGAGGAGGGTCCGGATGTCCTGACCCCCCTCTTGATATCTGCATGTGTAAAATTTAGGGCGTGGAAACGAAAGGGGGGGGGGGGGGTTCCTGAACATATGGTACGCAGTCCAACACCTGACCCTCCCCCCCCCCCCCCCCCCCCTCTGGAAATTCCTGCATCCACCCCTGACACCACCGCCATGCTGGTGTCAGCAGAACAAAAATGAGCCAGCACCGTCTTGCTGGCTTACCAAACTTCTTTTGGTCCCCTGTTCCATTTAATAAATGTAGAATGCTCCGTAACAATGCCTTAAAAGCAGTATTTATTTATCCGCAAAATTAGCCCCTTTGCAAGGTCTCATTGTTGTGATAAGTAGGATTGTAAATCAGGTAAGCAGCGATTAGTTCCAATTGTGGTCTACTGTCACCCTCAATGACAGAGGTAGGAAATCTTTAGGCACTTTGCATCATGTGAATGATGCAGTTACTTTTGCCACCTTGCGACAATGACGTTCTGCTCGATTAATAGCATGCTTCGCTCCCCCTGCTCGCACTACGTTTCAACAGCGGAGGCACTTGCAGCGGGCGCATTGCACCTGTGGGGTGGAGCATCTACTGAGTTTTTAACCAATCACTGACCATAGTACATGTGGCAGGCACGTAGCCGGGGGGGGGGGGGGGGGCATGGGGCCCGCCCCCTCCAGAAATTTTCCATTTTGTCGTGGGCGGCCCCCCCCCCCCCCCCCTGAAACAAAATCCTGGCTACGTGCCTGACATGTGGTGTGTCACCACCCGTCAAAAGAAAGGTGCCGTCATATGCAAGCTTATGAAAGTAAACTGAACAGAAGAAACAGCTTGGGGTGAAACAGGCATGCAAATTCAATATCTGACATGGATATACCTTGGCTACCAAAGGCTTTACTGCTGCACTCTTCTTGGGCCGCTCCTGGCGGCTGTCGTCTCGATCCCTGGCTTGCCTCTTCTTTTCCCGATTCTCCGTTGAGAGGACGGGCAAGTTTTGGGATGGCACCACTCCTCTCTTAAGGAGGCGCCTTTGACTTCCATGCTCTGGCAGAAAAAAAGAAATATTACAAAATTTTGTAATGGTGACTCTCCCAATCAATATGAAGGATTGACTGGTCAAACAAAACACCAAGGGGAGGGAAGCTGGCAGAAGAATGTCAAGAGGGAGCTTTTGGTAATTCTTAGAGCAGCGTGCCGACGCTTCACTAGGAGATCTAGATCCCTTAAACTAACTGGTCAGTTTAAAAAGCAAACAAACAGATTTTTAAAGTTCACACCATCTACTGTAAATAAGTCGGTTGGTGCAAGTGCACTGAACATATCGAGGGAATATTGGCTACTGAAGCTGCAACATTCTTGGCTTCTTAAATTCACAGTTCAATATTATTAAGATTGCCCATTTGGACGCCAAGCCTTTTCACCGAAAGACTGCTTCAGGCTGCCCGAGCGCACACCCGCTTTGTATCAATTTCATTCACACGCCCTCAAACCGTACTAATCCGAAGATTTTTTGTAAATTTTCCTACCCTAGCGGTAATACTGAAGCGCCCAGCACCACCGAAATGCTCAAAATAGTTGAGATTGACAATCGGGATTTTGGAACCCATCGCTTGCGCTCGTCGCCGTACAAGTTTCTTATGGTACGTTTACACCTGAGAAGAAATCCGCTGCCGCGGGAGCGAATCCGCTCCCGGCGGCTGCGGTGGCGAGCTGGTTGTGTTTACATCTATTTCCTTCGAGCAGTGGCGGCTGCGGCAGCGGTTCCCGTAACGTCTCGTCAAATATCACGAGAAGGCGCGAGGATTCCCGGCTCGGCTCTCTCTCTCCCGGGCGTTGCTGCTCCCGGAAGAACGCGTACTCGTGACGTAGGCAGCGTCGCGCCGCACAAGAATGTCACATCTGGTCAGCGAAACGCCTCGTTCGGCGGCAGAAATAGGTCTTGGACCAAAACGGCTCGCCGCCGCGTTTTCCGCCCAGCGTTTCGCCCCGGCGGCAAAAGCTGGGCGGATTCGCTGGCGGATCCGCAAGTGTAAACGTACCATTAGGCCGCATGTAAGCGTTCTCGCCAGCTACAAGACAAGCGACGGCGACGAGGGCATGCTGTCGCTCGGTCAGTCGCTCCCGCCGCATGAAAGCGACGGGAGCAAGCGACCAAAGCAATGAGCATGCAAGCGATTTGGCGAGCGACGAGACAAGCGAAGGCGACCCGCTTCGCTGTCACTCGGTCAGTCGCGCGACGAGGCATACCGCACGAAAGGAACGGGAGCAAGCAACCAAGGCGATGAGTCAAGTTTTCTAGAAATCCAAAAACCGAGCGACAGTGAGAAATCTCCGTCGTTCGTCTCATCGCTTGCTAAATCACTTACATGCGGTTCAGCCTTAATCTCCGCCACTCGTCGCTGACCCTCGTCGCCGTACTCGTCTTGCGGTGGTTCAGCCTAGCCTATGACGCCGTCACGCAAGATAAATATAAAGCACGACAAATTTGCACACTTACCTGGAAGGAAGAAGTCTCCCGGAAAAAAATGCCGCGAGCACACAGTCATTGTATCGGTCACCGTCTTTCCGATCCGAAGGAGGCGCACCCATTCCTCACGTCGGTTCACGACGTCCGCGCCCCTGCGGCACGTTTCCTTGGCGCTTGGAAAGCGGTGAAACGAGAAAGCACCGTTCTTCCACGCCGCAGCAGGGCACAGAGCAGTGTCGTTTGCAATTGGAAACGGCTATTTCTGAGCCACTATCGAGAGTTCCACTTTGACCCGCCATAGCATCTTACCAGGAGCGGCGGGGATTGGGGGGGGGGGGGGGGGGGGGTGGACCCTCACTGGGCCGGTTTCGATTTTCGCCGCGAGAGGGCGAGCAACGAGCTGGAGTCGCGAATAGCGGAGCTTGTTTCCCCAAGATCGGGTCCCCCAAAAAGAAATGTCGACACAAAACTCTGGTTGCCGCCGTCGCTCAGAGATGGCGGTAGCTGTCCAGAGTGTTGTGTTTGCCGGTTGCCCGCTTGCCGCCGTCGCTCAGAGAGCGCGGCATTTCTTCGGAAGAAGAAGAGCGGGAACGGAACGACCGGCGATGTGCCCAGCAGCGTGATCGGTTTCGCAACCGTTGTGAGGCCGCTATCGCCTAAAGTTCGACTGCGTCGGGCGCTTCAGATTCCCTTGCGAAAGAAGAGCAGATCGCTCGCCTGGAAAGCCACCGCCGAGAACAGAAGCTACAGCTCCGCTGCTCTTCCTTAATTCACCAGAGTGAAAAGGCTAAAAGATTTTTGTTTTTAATTTTGAACCCCGAGTTTCGTGTCTGCCCGTTTCTTTTTGCCCCTTGCTCTAGAGTTCTGTGTCCAAGTAATCTCTACCACATTGGTGTTTTGGAAACCCGGATAGGAAATACGAGAAGAGTCAGACGGAAGAACTCGAGAGAGGTAAAAGTACAGTGGAGGGCGCGCTGACAGGCTTGGGGCGGGTTGCTTACGAAGGTCGCTCGGCCTGGTTCAGCCAAACTCCTAGCACAAGGATCCCATCTATCTCTTGGGGAGCGCGAGCGAGTGTGACAACAGAACTGTCCCCCTCCCTTTTTCCCCGGACTCCCTATCTCCAGATCT